TTTATAATAAAATATAGTACTAAATCAAAATATCCATGGCAGGGTTTCTCTCTCTCCCTCTCTAATAAAATCTATCTACTCTAAGAAGATTTGCTCTCTTTCTGAAATCTGAGCATATCTTACATCAGTGGTATTTTAACATTGTGACTTCACATGTAATTGGTAGCATCTTTTTTTTCTTTCTTTCTTAAGAGATTTAAAATAAAGGGCAGTTTAGATCCACTGTCTTCTGAGATAGATGGGCTCCTCCTTCCTCTTCTCTTACTTTTATAGTTAGATTCCATTTTCATCTTTTCTTCTTTTCCTTCTCAGTCTTTCGGGGATGATGAGAGATCAGAGGCAATGGGACTGATTTCAAATGACATCTTATTAATTAGGGTCATCCTGAGCCCTCACTTAGTGTCCTCTTTGCAGCAGTATAATGTACCTGGATTTCTTTCTTTCTTTTTTTTTTTTTTTCCTAATTCTTCATTTTTACCTGGACACAGTCTCATTCTGGTGGACCCAAGCCGTGGTGGGGATTGATCTTGCTGGGCTTCCTTGATGGCTGGGTCGCCCTGTCTTTTTCTCTCAGGGCACTGACAGCTGGACTCCTGGGTCAGATGATGCCTTCTCTGTGGATGGCATGGTCACTTTCCCCTTTCTTACCTTAGGGTTAATCCCATAAGGATTGGACCCCTGAGTCCTGCCAGGCATAGCTGCCGCAGACTTGCTCCCAAGACCCTTTCCAGCTTCACTGCCCAGGGCAACATGCCACTCATGCCAAGGCCCAAGGAAACCTGATCTTCTTGAAGCCTCCCTCACTCCAGTTTTTCTCCAGGTGTGTGATCAGGCCACCCTCTCTGCCAGGGGTGAGCACACCTTCAGTCTACCTGCAGAAGTCCTGCCCGTCTTTTTTTTTGTCTTTTTTTCGTGTCCGGCAACGGATCGCAACCCTCAGTGTCGCGCCCGTACCGGACTGGGACCGGCATCGGGATCGGGATCGCAACCCTCGGTGTTGCTCCCACACCTCGCTCAGCCAGTGAGCGGGAACCGGTCTGTATGTGGGATCCGAACCCTCGGCGGGAGGGTCACCACGCTCCGAAGCGGCGCACTGTAGCAGTGCACCACCGGGCCGGCCCAGTCCTGCCCGTCTTTAGACCCTGCCTGATGCCTGTCCTGTGACCAGAGAGCCTGCATCCTGGTACCTGAGTTAGAGTTGCCCTGGTCTTCCCCTCTGGGTTGGGGTGCAGTTCTCACACCAACAGTGGGCTCCGGTCCTCGCTAGCTGGGGGAGGACACAGGCCATGGGGAAAGGCCACTTTTGAAGGACTCAGGGGCCAAGGACTTCTTCAAGAACTCTGTGGATTTATTGTCTTCTAGTAGTCAAGAAAAAAAAATGACCATTTTTGTTCAATACACAAAATTTCAAACACACCCAAAAGCAGAGAGAGAAGTGGATGAATCCCTGTGAACCCCTCCCCCACTCCACAGTTGTCAGCATCTGCCAACTGCAGGGCTGCGTTCTCACGTGGCCTGTGGTCGCTTTCTGGCTTCCGTGGCCATCCCCATGTGCACAGTGCCAGGCCGTGGGGTGAACTGTGCTACTGCTGTAGCCACCGTAGGCCTTGTGTGGTTCTGGCCACTCATGCTTCAGAGGGGCTTCATTTCCTGCCATGGAGAGCTGCTTGCACACTCAAGTTTTATCTCCAACCGCCACATTCAAAACAGATAAAGTGGTATTAGCACAAATCTATTACAAAATTTACTTTTATATTATTTACTTATGAAATCAATTTGCCTGTGGGAAAGTACCATTAAACTGCCATCAGAAATATTAAGATCTGAATTTTGATAACAATTACAGAGTTGCAATTCCATGTATCTCAGTGTTCTATTTGGATGACTGATACTCAGAAGTCACTGAGTCACACAGGTATGCTGTTGCTAATGGCAACAGTTTTTTAATCTTGTTTTTACCCATTCGCCTGTGATCTCCAGAGTCTCTTCAATTAAATCGATCCAAATGTTTGGAGGAAAAGCTTGTAGGAACTGTTTTTTTTTTCCAGAGTTGAATCGCTGACCTAACAGATGCGTACAGTCTTGTTATAAATATAAAAATCAGACGGGAAGAAACCTAAGCTTAAAATAAGCAGAACTTTGTATCCTGCAGCATGCATGACACCATGCTTTCTGTTGTTGCTGCTGGTGATGATTGCTGGGGATAAACACCAAGTCCATGCAGGAACACAGCGGGGTAACTATAGGTACACACTTGAATTTTTTTTTTAAAGAGCCATGCAAAGCTGAAATCTCAAGTGTTGACTCATTCATGAAAGATTCAAATACATGCACATTCATCGCAAAAAAAGCTTTCGTTTAACTTCCACCCAAAAAAGAGTTGCATGAACCACATAAATGAGTACATTGGCAGTGTCTGAAGAGTTAAGACTCTGTGAGCAGTCATTTAAGTGTTGATTTTTTTTTAACCACTTTCAAATACAAGGAAAAGGAAATATTGGAATTAAACATTTGCAGAAACTGTGAAGCAACTTCACCAGGTCTCAGGGTTCTAGAGAATCTAGTTTGGAAATCATGGTACTATCAGGGTGAGTTTGTGAAGGTCCACATGTTCAGCTTCTGTGTGCCCAGTCATTGTTTACAATGTGACTCATTAGCACAGTCAGACTACAGTCAGCAAAATATATCTACATCTGGATCCTTCATCCTCCTCTGTCCTTCCCTATGTGTGCTTGGAAGTAGGGGGTGGTGTGTCCTTTCTGATCTCAAGGGACCACTTGATGACAGCTTATTCTTCCTCTCTCCTTTTCTTCCTTCTTTAACTTCATCACATTTTGTTCGTTTCATTTTCAAATCATGACTTCCTTGTACTGATTTTTCCTAAAGTTTCTGGTTGTCTTTTTTCTTATTACAATCATTGTTGTTTTTAACGTGTCCTTAATGAAATCCATGATGTTTTCCAGCTTGTCATTTCTTATCTGAATCCAAACCATTCTCTCCTCAGAGACCCCTACCATCTTGCTCAAATTTGGACCCACCCTTTTCTAGGCCTGTTGCACAGCTTTTTGTGGAAATCCCTTTTCTTTATTTCCAGGTTACTCTAGAAGTTTATTTCTTCTTTCTCGGTTTTCACCCTCATTTTTTCTGTAACCGAGCCCTCTGTGACCTTAATGTTCTCAAAAGCGCCTTTCTTTTCCTTTGTGCTTGGGTGATTTCTTTCTGCTCTAGGAAAGTGCTTCGTGTTATTTCTTTGGTGATTCCCCCTCCCACTGTCTCTCTTGTCTCCTGATGGAACTTATGACATTGAGTTCCCGTGGCTTGTCCTCTGTGGTATTCATTGTTTCTGTTCTGCATTTCATCTCTGTGATTTTTATCAGCCAAACCTCCCACCCATTTATTAAAAAAAAAAAGCTCATAAACCATATTTTTAATTTCCACATTGCTTTGCTTTTCTAATTGCAATAGCCTCTTGAATTTTTGTGAAGATATCTTTTTAAGAGAGAAGTTTTCACTGGTTTTATTAACTGTTTCTTTTTGGGTCATTTCTTGTGCCTATCCTTGATTGTGTGTTTCATGGTTAAAACCATTCTCAAATATCTCGTGATTATGAGTTTTCCAGAGGGGACCTCAGACACAGAAAGGATGCCAAGGCTCTGTGGTGTGGGTAGCCCTTACTACGGGTTCCCCGGTTGCCAAAATGAAGGAGACTTTACTCTGTGGTGCAGGCACCTTGACTGGCTGCCTGTGTTTTCTTGAGGAAGTTTATTTTTATTTACATGTAGAGCTGTGTTTTAAAGGTACCCAGGGTTTGTTTTCATCAGCTGTGGTAAGACATGCAGATGCAGAAATGACTCCTGTAGGAGGAAGTTTTTGCTCAGAGTTCTCTAGAAGCAGGAGGCCCTGCACACACGAAGGGCCACTCAGGGAAGCACTGGGTAGGTCAGGAGATAGCAGGAGCAGAGGAAAACCTGAATAAGGGCCTTTATTGTGATTTCTGCAGGAAGGAAGGGGCAAGGTGGGGTAAGCAGGCTTAAAATTGGCTAGCTGGAATAATTTCAGCAGTCTCTGGGGCCTGGGCATTGTCCCTAGTTAGCTGATACCAGGCCCTGGGGTGATTCAGGCAAGTGGATAATGACCCTGGGTCTGGGAGCCTGATAAAGGAGGTGGCTGGGGGTATGAGCTCTAGGTTGATAGATTTGACAAGTGATTTCATAAACGAGTTGTTTTCTATCACTAGGAATTGACTAACCCTGGGAAGGGCTGTCCCTCCAGGGCCATTGAGGCCCCAGATGTCAAAGTATCAGCATCCAGGAAATACAAAACCTGGTTCATACAGGCTGCTCACTTCATTGTGGTCCCTTCCTCTTTTGGGGTGTGTGTGTGCGTGCACATGTGTGCATGTGTTTCCTTTATCCAAGTTGGTACCTCCTGGCTGCAGGAGGTTTGAGCAGGGCAGGGAGTGCACTCATCTAAAACTTGCACTTAATTTTTCTCTTCCCCACCCTTTTCTTGGCTAATTTTGGAGCTTGGAACCTCCCTGGGACTCTGCTGGTGCCCAGCTCCCTCCTGCACCTGCGGTTTCAGTCATTCAAGATATATTTGTTAAGCCCCACTCAAGAGGCTGGGACTAGCGCTCTGGCTACAGCAGGTTAAACTCCTGCCCTGGGGCTGACAGGGTGCAGTGCGCCTCCGCCCCCCATCTCCTACAAATATAGTGACATTTTTCACCTGCCGAGTGTCGGACGTCCTCTTAGATTGTTTGCAGGTTGCCTGTTGGTTTAAAACTTTGTTTTGTGTACATTATGAAAAAAAGAAACAGTTGACTTGAAATGGGGGTAGACCTTGGACCCTCACAAGCTGCTCTCTGAGTCTCCAGCCCCTCCCAGCGGCGCCCCCGGAGCGGTGGCCCGAGCACAGGCAGGAGCCCTGCAGCCGCGCACCGAGTCCTGCGCACCGAGTCCTGCCGGAGCCGGCTCACCAAGCCCTTCTCCTCTCCCTAGTGCGGACGAGCGGTTTGATGCCACCTTCCACACCAATGTTCTGGTGAATTCTTCGGGGCATTGCCAGTACCTCCCTCCAGGTAAGATCCGCCTTCTTTGTCTTTTTCCGGTTGGACACGGCGGTGAGCTGGGGCTGGGTCCCTGCGGGGCCCTCCGCGTGTCCACCCTCCCTTTCTGCTCTCTCGCGCTGCCACTTTCTCCCTCACCCCGAGGGAGGACGCCACCCTCCTGTCCTCGGAATGGCGGCCCACGCTGTCTCCAGGGCCTTGTCCTGTGTTCCTGTTTTCTGCACGAGCTCCTTAGGGTTAACCCACACTCAGAGCCGTCTCTCCTGTCGGGTACCCTCCGCCTCTCCTACCCGCAGGCCGGTTTTCCAGGCCATTGTCCTTGGCAGGGCGGGTGCCGCAGGGCGGTGGGGCCCGGACTGCGGGGGGGAGAGGGTCGCAGAGCCCAGGGGCAGACGCCAGGAGCGCGCTCGCCTGCGGCTCCTCCTCGGTGGCGCCCCCACCCCTCCCGGGCCAGTTCCTTTCCCACCGCCCCTCGCTGCGGTGGGGCGGCACTCACAGGCCTGGCTGCTCAGTGAGCAATCCTCAGCCTGGAAGGGATCACTGGGGTGTTCAGCATACGGACAGGGGCGCTGGCAGTTGGGTGGAATCCTTTAGAAGATTTCTTACATATTCTTTTTCAGGATTACCTCCCCCACTGCAGCTATTGGCTTGTGTAACTTCCTGCTCTCAGGCGATCTGCAACTACCCCCCAGCCTCGCTGCCACCACTCATACACACAAACACATCGCATCCCACACGCTCTCACAGGTGCACACACCCACACACTCACACACCCACATGCACATACACTCATAATGCACACACACACCACACTAGTACTCACACACACACCACACACATATGCACACACCTCACACATTGAGGCACATTCACATACACACATTTGCACACACACTCATACACACACCACACACTCATACATGCACACATGCACACACTCACAGAACCACACACATCTGACACATTCATGGACATTCATATACACATACATTCACTCTTACACTCACTCCTGCCCCCAGCAGTGAGCCCTCTCATGCGTCCTGGTTCCCTCACAGCAGACAGCAAAGCCAGCATGGCCTTCTGGGCGGTTGCTCACGTGCACTTGCTGTCCCCAGGTGATGAGCATCCCAGGGGAGAACGGTGTTTGCTCACCTTCGAGCCCATCATAAATGAATGATTTAGCACCCGTCAAGGCTAGATTCCTCCCAATACTGTCTATACAGATTAAAGAAGTCCAGCCTGCGGGTTTTCTATCTTAAAGCATCTTCTTTCCTGCTGTTCCCCCCAGCTACTGCTCCCATGCATCTGCTCGAAACAGCAGGCCCTGCAGACTGGGGTCCTGGTATGACTCTTCCATCACATCTACATTCTTTTCACCAGGACTGTAAGTTGCAGCTTCTATTATGAAGGCTATTTTAGAAAAAAACAGCTTCCATCAATGTAGAAGAATGGTGCTACAGATTGTTTTGAAGGCTGGGGCTATTTTCAGCTACAGGAGCAGCATTCCTGACCCTCAAATGCCCTGTGTGCAGCAATCCCCTCTGGGTTCCATCCCTGCGCCCTCACCTCAGTGGTTCTGGGATCCTGGTCAGGACAGGACACATTGTGCTGTTACTGTGGGAGTTTCCCTTACACTGGCAGGAGAAGTTCAGAGCTGCCTGGCCTTGGGGTTGTGTAGAACTGGTTCTGGGATGCTGCTCAGCTGTGCCTAATGAGACATGAGTAAAATAGAGTGTTTTGGTTGCAAGCTTTGGAATAGAAACTTGATTATGCCATGCCTCTCCCAACCCCCATTTCAAGTGTTTACTTTCTCACAGCTTTATTAAGGTAGAATTTACATATCATACATTTTAAGTGCATGATCCAACATTTTTTAGCAGATTTACAGAGTTGCACAGCCACTACCACAGTCCAGTTTTGGAGCAATTCCATCGCTGCACAATGATCTCTTTTACCTATCTTCAGTTAATCCCCTCTCCCAGAGCCAGCCCCAGGCAACCCCCACATCTGTTTTCTGTCTCTTGAGATTTTCTTTCTTGGGCCATTTCATAGAAATAGAGTTATACAGTTGTAGAGTTTTCTAACTTGCAAACAATGTGGGTTATGGGGGATCCAGCCATTAATAATGGGAGGGGAGTGTGGGAGTGTCCTAATGACTTCCAGATTCTTAGGAACACTTAATGTAATGCTGTAAATCATATTTAGAGGAACTTGAGGGGACAAAAAGTTCACCATCTTTTCCCAGCTTGGCTGTGGGTGGGAGGGTCTATGTTTGCAAGGCTGAGTCCCTTGCTCTGTTCATTCTTCTTTAATTCAGTAACAGACATTCACAGAGTGTCTGTTCTTTCCCACCAGCACTGGGACACTGGCTATTCATGACTTCCAGTATGGTCCTGTCTTTGCCTGGGCAGGGAAGAGCACATGAGCATAAGTAACTGGAGTGGCCTTTTCCGGTCTCTTCTCTGTGACCTTCTGGGAAGTTCACTTCCAACTTGTCCCAGCCAGGAATTGCTCTTTTCAATGGAAACTCTTCCTTGCATCTAAGCACTGTTTCCTCAACCTAAACCTATCAGTTCTCATTCTGTTTTTGATCTAGAATGTGAACTAATTAAATTATCTTCTAGATAATTTTATTCCTAGATAACCAAGTATTTCCCCAATTTTTAACCTAAAGAAATGCCCACCCTTCTCACCAAACACACATACCAGTTTCCAATTCTATTTCTAACCCCTTTATCATTTTTATCAACTCTGAGTTTTTCACATTCTTTACTGTTCTGTTATTGTTAAGGGTCTGAAAATGCTCATGGTAAATGCAAGTTTATGGAGCTAATTCTTTGCATAGAAAGTCCTCAGAACAGTCTTCTTAAACAGAGGGTGTCCGTGTTGTGTTTGAATTTTAAAAGACAGTGATGCTTTAGCTGAGCTTCTTTTCTAGAAGTTTTGAAGAGAGAGAGAGAGAGAGAGAGAGAGAGAGAGAAAGAGAGAGAGAGAGAGAGAGAGAGAGAGAGACAGTTTGTTCTGGGTAGGTTTAGGTTTAGCTGCAGTTTGGAGGGGCAGGACCAGCTGAAGTGTCTGCTGTGTATTTTGAGCACACCTTAGTCAGCTTCCTTTTGGTCTTCTGTTTCCATCACCCACATAGGCATATTCAAGAGCTCCTGCTACATCGATGTGCGCTGGTTCCCCTTTGATGTGCAGCAGTGCAAACTGAAGTTTGGGTCCTGGTCTTACGGAGGGTGGTCCTTGGATCTGCAGATGCAGGAGGCAGACATCAGTGGCTATATCCCAAACGGAGAATGGGACCTCGTGGGTAAGCCCTGCAAAGACATGAGACTAGCAGCCAGAAAGAAAGTGGCTTTATTCTTGTGTGAGCCTAAAAAATTTGGGATTTTCCACTGTCCTTTTCAGTGTAAGCATTTATTAAACTCTGCAGCATTATCCATAATTTACTGAGAAACAGAAAACAATCTAAAAATGCAGTGCTTTCCAGGAGGAACTCGCAGCTGTGGTGAAGACACATTTAAACAAGTCAGGGCTGGTGCAGCACCCTACATTGCTTGTGTCCGCTCCATTCCTAACGTCAGGTTAGACGGCAAACTTTGGTTGATGGGAACCTGTATTTGATTATTTTAAATTGAATAATTACATTTATAATAATTTAAAATTAATGATGCATTATTTAAACTCGTATATTTCCAGTCCATCAAAGGAATATCTACCAATTTGCTCAATTATCACTAAGATACTCTTAAACAATTCTGTAATAAGCCAGCAACGGTTTATTTGGACACTAATTACCGAATATTTTAGCACTTAGCAAACTCCAGGGTTATGTTTGTGTGTGACATATACATTGAAATAATCAGAGTCGTTTATTGTGCTTTAACTATGGTTCCTTTTCTTCTCATCCCATGAAGGAATCCCAGGCAAGAGGAGTGAGAGGTTTTATGAGTGCTGCAAAGAGCCTTACCCAGATGTCACCTTCACAGTGACCATGCGCCGCAGGACCCTCTACTATGGCCTCAACCTGCTCATCCCCTGTGTGCTCATCTCAGCCCTTGCCTTGCTAGTGTTCCTGCTCCCTGCAGACTCTGGAGAGAAAATCTCCCTTGGTAAGTGCCTGGAATCTGAGATGGGAGGCACTTCCTTGAGGTCAGCTCTGAAGGGCTTACTGTGCACAGAACGGTACAGGGTCCCATCAAGGTCTCTAGCCCAGACTGGCTTCAGGACACAGAGCCTCCTGATTTGGGCTCCGTGTTGGATAGCTGTTCCCTCCCGAGAATACTTCGGATCCTCAGATCCTACATAGAGGATGGAGCTCCCCAGGGAGGGACTAGATCCATTCTGCTCTGAGGATCCTGGGCTTTCTCCTCTGCTACCACCCCTACCCGTCCCTAGATGGCAACCGATCAGCATTCTCTGTGCACAGTGAACAGTTTAGCTTAACATCAGTTTGCATCTGTGTGTTGCTTTGCACAGTGTGATTCCTTACCATTGCACCCATATCAAGATAAGAAAACTAAGATTTCAGGTGGTGAAATAAATTTCTCAATATTTGAGAGTTACTGGAGCTCACATGTAGTATATGGTAGAAATCAGTCTCAAACCTGTATCTTCTGACTGTGGGGCTCAAAAATGTTAGGTGAGGGCCGGCCGGGTGGCGCACTGGATAGTGCGCCGCTTGGGAAGCACGGCGGCACTCCCGCCCGAGGGTTCGGATCCCACATACAGACCGGTTCCCGCTCACTGGCTGAGCGAGGCGCGGGAGCAGTGCCGAGGGTTGCGATCCCGTTGCCGGTCCCCGGTCCGGTACGGGGGCAACACTGAGGGTTGCGATCTGTTGCCGGACACGGAAAAAGACAAAAAAAAAAAAAAAAAAAGAAAAGTTAGGTGATTTACCCAAGGTCACACAGCTAGTAAGTAGCAAAGTCAAGACCTTAACCAGGTTTTGGGACTGCATGTTTTCTTTTTCCTGCTACATGAAACTACCCACTAATAATAATGAGCTAAAGAAAACGAGAGATAATCATGTTAATTAAATTACCCATTTTCTGTTGATTCTTCCATAATTCTGATTCCAAAACTTGTCTCTGCCAGGGACTCCTTTGGGACTCTAGTAAGTGACAGGCACTATCCCCAGAAAAGTGCACATGCCCTGTGCACAGAAACCGTGCATCCTGTGATCTGCCAGCACCTTCTGGTTCTTTGAAACTCAGCTTGGAACCCCTGTGAGAGAGAATTTGGGCCTCATTGCCTTTTTTGTCTGAAAACCTGCCATGTGTTCTGTTTTAGGGATCACGGTTTTGCTCTCTCTCACTGTCTTCATGCTGCTTGTGGCTGAGATCATGCCAGCAACATCCGATTCAGTGCCGTTGATAGGTAAGGCACGAGTTGGGCTCCGATCTCTTTAAGAAGCAGGTTGGAGAGTGCCTAGGATTTCTAGCAGATGCAGTGATCAGAAATGTGTCCTCATGGCTGTGGAGAGCTGTACTGCTCCCATTTTCTGCCGTGAGGAAGTGACTTGTGGTAACTATTAAGAATGACACATGGCCTCTGCTCACCTGGGCCCAAGTAAGGGGAATGGGGCATCCAGCTTTATGGTTTGGCTTTAAATTGCAGAAATGCCCCTTCTTCCCATAATTTCCCCCCTCATGCTTGCTTTGGAACCAAAGATTTTACCATTAGAGATTTGCAGTTATAGCGGAGACGTCGTTTTCCCACACACCTTTGTTAAAATGAGAAAGGCATACACTTTAACTCTTAGCCATTGTTTCCTGAGATAGCTCCATGTCTCTGTCTAAAATACATATGTTTGGGGAAATATGAATGGGGAAATATCTCTTGCCCAGGGCAGGAATAAGGCATGACCTTCTGCCGAGGGAGGGACTACAGAAGCAGGAGATGGCATCACCATTGCTGTGTACCTTCCTGGATTGGGATGAATGGGAGCATGTGAAGGGAGGTTCACAGCTCTAGCGTTTGGGGTCTGGTACCCTCAGCACTGCAGCCGGGCTTCTGCTCCTGGTCAGGCAGCCAAGATCTCCAAAGCAGTTGTCGGGACAGGAAGCAAACATTTTGCCAGGGGTTATTAGGTATAATATGAGTGTCTCCTCTTCCATTTGGTGGTGGAGGTCAGAAACAGGAAATAAGTCTGTGATTATGCCTGTGGTCTCTGCTACCCAAGGGCCCATCCTATGTTGCTAACTAGGGTGTGTAGGAGTGGGAGAGCCTTACACAAATGCCCCAGGCTTACCAAAGCAAGCAGCTAAGGCCCTTCTTTGTAGATACAATATTTTGGCCAGAGAAACTGTTGGTATTAAAAGCGTTTGCGAGTGTCTTAATTCTCTCGGTACCATCCAGACAGTGAGGAACCACCTTTCAATGTGGGTCTGACACTGTTCGTTTTACCTTCCAACACATGGCTTTCAGTAGAGACTTGCAACACGAGCCTCCCTCAAAGGGCAAGAGGCAGGCCCTGCCCTGACAGATGAGCCCTCGAGAATAGCTTGGTGGACACATAGCCAGAGTCTAGAAGGATGGGATGGGGCAGTTAGCCTCAGGGACACCAGCTTTGCTGCCTGATGTTGGTGGGATTTCATTCTGTGATCCTTTGGTCCTGGATCCCTCCCCAGGTCCTAGTATTAGTGTGTTCAGGCCACCACAACAGAACACCACACACTGTACTGCTTAAATAGCAGACATTTACTTTCTCACAGCTGTGGGGGCTAGAATTCTGAGACCAAGGTGTCAGCAGGTTTGATTTCTTCTCTTTGGCTTATAGATGGTTGTCTTCATGATGCTCTGTCCTCTCAAGGCATCCCTCTGTGCATAGGAACCCCCAGTGCCTCTTTAGTATACTTATTTCCTCCTTATTGTAAGGACACCAGTCAGATTGGATTAGGGAGTACTCTAATGACCTCATTTTACCTTAATTACCTCTTTAAAGACCCTGTCTCCAAATACAGTCACATTCTTAGGTATGAGGGGTTAGGACTTCAACATACGAATTTGGAGGGGACACAATTCACAATTTAGGCCATAACAGTCCTGGTTTGGTCAACTCTCCTCCTTTTTGTAGGGCCCTCATGCTAACTTTAAGTCCCTCCACCCCTGGGGCCTCTTGGTCTCTGTAGGAAGGCAGGGAGTGCCTTCGTGGCAGGTTGGCGGGTGGTGTTCTCTGCCAGGCATGTGGGCTGTACTCTTAGCCTCCTGTACCAGGATGGTTTCCACCCAGACCTCAGCGCCCTTCACAGATGGCCACAGAGAAAGTTTAATAATCAGGGTTGCCAGTGGAAGAATGCCTCCTCTGTACCAGGCTTTCTCCTGCATCTTGGCCTATGTAACTGCTAATGCTGCATTAACCCTGCAAGGAATGGGTTTTCGTCTGTCTTAGTTAGGACTGCTGTAACAAATTGCAATGAACTCTGTGGCTTAAATGACAGGTAATTATTCCTCACGGTTCTGGAAGCTGCAAGTCTATGATGAGATTTTAAGCAAGGTTGGGTTCTGGTGAGGGTCAATTACCTGGTTTATAGATGGTCGTCTTCTCACTGTGACTTCACACCGAGGAAAGAGAGCTAATTAGCTCTCTGGCCTCTTCTTGTAAAGGACATTAATCCCATTCACAAGGGCTCCACCATCAGGACCTCATTATCTACTCTGAGAAAAACAGTTTCTCTGCTTACACAACACTCCTGACACCAGATGGGCAGATTTTTTCCCACACCCGCCCATTCTCCGACACCAGCTACAATCCACTTCCACTCTGACACTGTCTACCTTGAGTTAGTGCAGACCCCACAGGTTAAGGGCTCCGTCCCACAAGTCTGCCCTCACTCCAGTTGCCATCACAAGTACTGGCCTCCCTTGCTCCTGACCGACTAGCTGTATGTCAGGGAGTCCCCCAAACCATGTTGTTGGGTTCATTCATTTACTGGAGTGGCTCACAGAACTCAGGAAGGCACTTACGTTTACTAGTTTATTATAAAAGATATCATAAAGGATACAAATGAACAGCCAGATGGAACAGATGTCTAGGGCAAAATATGTGGGAGGAGCTCCCATGCCTTCTCCCAGAGCATCACACCTAGGCACCTCCACATGCTCAGCAGTCAGGAAAATCTAAACTCTGACCTTAGGGTTTTTATGGAGGCCTCCTTACATAGGTGTGATTGATTACATCACTGACCATTCTGATCAACTCAACCTTCGGCCCCTTTCCCCTCCACAGAGGTCAACAGTGGGGCTGAAAGTTCCAACTCTGTAATTGTAGGGTTGGTTTCCCTGGCAACCAGCCCCATCCTATGCTATCCAGGAATTCCCAGTCATGGGTCATCTCATTAGATACAAAAAGGCACTTATGACTTCAGAGATGTAAGTGTTTTGGGAGCTGTGTGCCAGGAAATGGAGGAACACCAAATATGTATTCTTATTATAAATCACAATATCACATCTCCCAATGGCCCCACCTCCAAATACCATCACATTTGTTCACGAGTTTTAACAAAGGAATTTTCTGGGGACTCAAACATTCAGTCCTTTGCACCATCTCTGTTTTACTATTGACAAATCTGAGGCCAGCGAAGCTGAGTAACCTGTTGAAGTCCATGGATGGCAGCTGGTGGACGAGGCTGGAACTCCTTCAGATGTACCACGCTGCTTCTCACCTGAGCTGAGGTGTGGAAACACACCCTTGGTCCGTTGGGGCCAGAGCTGCCACTTCTCTGGCTTCTTCCTCAGGCTGGAAAGCTGGCACCACTGCCCAGGTCTTTCAGGAGATGAAGCCTGCCTCTTTCTCCAAACTATTACCCTAAGTGTCCAGGGCTGATAAGCAGCCAGGTGGTGTCCAGATTTGCCCTCATGCCACCCTGGAGCACATCAAGCCTTGCAGTCATGATGGTGAATATACCCTCAATGTCCAATGTGTTTTTGTGGGAACAGCTTTATCCCCATCCTGCCAGGCACTTTCCACTCTAATCCACGGACAAGGACTACAGAGTGCAAGGAAGCAGAATGAGCAGGCGAGGCCACTCTGTGGATAGGAAGTCAGGTCTCTGGCTACCTGGAATGTGCGCTGCAGGCTGTGGGCCTGGCCTCGCTGGCAGGAGGCAGCTCTGTCCCACAGTTGCAGGGCTGTACCCTGAGGCCCTGACGCTGGGAGCACACATCAGGGTGCAGCCGTCCTGTGGCATGCAGTGCCATGTTGCCATCTCACCTGCGTCTGTTCTCTCTGCAGCCCAGTACTTTGCCAGCACCATGATCATCGTGGGCCTCTCAGTGGTGGTGACGGTGATTGTGCTGCAGTACCACCACCACGACCCTGACGGTGGCAAGATGCCCAAGTGGGTATGTTCCTCTCGGCCCTAAGATGAAGTCAGAGCCCATCCCTAAAGGAGGCTCCTGGTATGGCTTATCTGTTTTAAAAATCACATACAAAACTGGCACTTCTAAACAAAGAGCTTTATTTTTTGTCTGACTTCACCTATCTGCATGTCTTTGCAGAGAATATAGTTACTGTGAGTGGGATCCTTAGTATCCCATGGCAATGTTTTTTAATGACATTCCAGAGCAATTTTCAGAGGCATTTTGCAAGCACAGTGTTTCTGAAAACTACTTTTATTGCATGTACACTGTGGAGTACTGCGCCGCAGTTGGAAGCAACAGACAAGCTAGACACATAACAACATGGGTGAAGTTTCACGAGAGAGTGAGGAACATGAAGAGTAAGAAACACTATGTGCTGTGTAAATATACAGGCATCCAGTGCTTACGGTAACACGTTCTCACCACAGCCTATCAAATGAAGGTCAGTAGTCGCCAGTGGGGAAGGGAAGGGGGATAAAAGGAAATGGAAGAAAAAATAAAGGGCTGAATCCCACAGCCTGTCATTGTAGCCCAGGCCAGCACCCTCACACACACCCCTTGCCCCCAGCCCCCAGCTTCTGCCATGCTCTGTGCTCTGGCCATGTCCACTGACGCTCTTCTGCCCACGAGACATGCCTCTGTGGAGGCAGTGTCTGAAGCTCTATACCTCCCTCATCTGACAGTCAGGAAACTTTGATTAGGGTCCAGCCAGAGCCTGGGCTCTGCATTTAGTTACCCTCCAGGAACAGGCAGTTTCTGGACTTCCTAAAAACATTCAATGTGCAATAATTTACAGTTACCCAAAAGTTAACTTAGGAAAGATTACTTTAAAAAAAAAAATGGCCCTACAAAGTTACTGTTTCCCCTCAGATTCTTTTCCATGGCACGTTCCCAGAACACTTAATAAAGATTCCCTGTCTGCCTGGAGTAGAGTCCTGGGCAGGAGTATCTCACTGGCAAAGCCAAGAGCAGATGACCTGCTTCTGGCCGCAGAAGAGCTACAGTTTAAGAAGAGGAAAATGTGATATATGTACACATGGAACACTACTCAGCCATAAAAAAGAATGAAATTCTGCCATTTGCAGCAACATGGATGAGATTGGAAAAAATTATGTTAAGTGAAATAAGCCAGACGAGGAAAGAGAAATACCTCACGTTCTCACTCATAACTGGGTGCTAAGAAAGAAAGAAAAGACCTAAGCAATTTCTTGAACTTTCAGAATACTAAAGATGGGGCTGAGGCAGGGGTGATGGTGGTTTGGGGAGGGATAGGTAAAGGGTATAAAGAAAAAATATGATTTGTAATAATAATATGCTTATAAAAAAGAATATTAAAAAAAAAGAAGAGAGATGTCCCCGCCACCTAGGCTTTCATCATAGGAAGCAGAGTCACATCTCACCTTCATGATAAACACTAAAGGATTTCTCCCATACAAAGAGAGGAGTTAGACACTGGACAACCAAAAAAATGACAAAAAGCCCATGATGATATTTTCTCTTTTTATGTTTTTCACCACTTTGCAAATCATCTTCAGAGAACTTGCATTACATATGGACCTGATAATTATAACTTTTTCTTTCTTTATAGCACTATGTTAAATTACAGTGAAATGTTTCCAGTCTTTAAAAGAAATGTCTAAAGTTGGTATAAAATCTTTATCGAATTTTAAAGAAAGACCCCCTTATAGCTCATGATGCCAGCAAAAGCATGAGATCAGCCTAAATGGTGACATCTCACACACAGGTCACATCTCTGTGGCCCCTGATGCTGGATTTGAGAAGCCTCCCCCCTACCCCCGCCACACATTAAAAAGCTGGGATACATGTGCACATATTCACCTGCCTTCTAACTGACTTCCTTATAACCTGACACACTTAGGTGAGATGCCAAGCCAGGTGTGAGAGTGGGGCCTTGCTTCTTGGTGTGTCTTTCTGTCTGTCCTTCTGTCTGTTTGAAGCAGGTAATGAAAACAATTAAAATTCTGCATGAGGAAATCCTTCTTCCATCTCCACCCCTCATCCTGTTTCTACCACAAATGTTGATAATGATTTTAATGAATTCCATCTTTTTCCTTCTAGTGTTTATTTATGTAAATACAAAAATATAAACACTCATTTCTCATAAGTATTTTGACTGATGGCAAGATGAGAGCTAAGATCTGGAGACATTTTTAATGAACTGGTAGCCTTTTACTGTTCCAGAAAAATCTCAATTAAGAGTATATGCTAATTTCTCACCTCTCAGCATAAGAACTTATTAAAACTAATAGGCTGCAAATGAAATATGAAGCATATACATCTTTCTCACTTTATATAGCACACTGTGTTTTTCTTCTGTTCAATGTGTCTTTGAAACATAAACAGCCTCCAAGGGACTTTTATTATGATCTGTTGCTACGAAGAAGATACTGCTGGGTGCAGTGGCATTATGTGACATTTGCACAGCCAGAAACAAAACTGTAGCTTAACAAAAGAGGTCACAAGCACAGTTTGATAAGTGCCAAGAGGATAATTTCATCTTTCAAGAGGCTTCGAACTTGAAAGCTAATGGTTCAGGCAGGGAATTCAAAATAGACTTGGCAGCGTGGATCGTATTAGAGTGAGATGTACCCCAGGGGATGCGCAGATCCCCACCCCCACGTGGAGGGAAGAGCCTGGTGCTGGTGTCCACAGTTGCCCCTGGGTTCGATGCACTCACCACCCAACAGCTTCCCTGGAGATCTGAACTGCCTCAGGCTTTCTGGTGCCTTCAGAGAGGGGGTTGGCCTAAAGTCAAAGCAGTTTTGAAGACAACCTTGTAGACCTTTTACAGATGTGGCTTGGGAAGTCTAAACACCTTAGTTAAGTGACTTAACCCCTTGAATACTGTGTGGCCTTGAGCCAACCTATTAGGTTTTGAGCCTCAGTTTGTCTGTAAAATGGGGAAATTATACTCACCACACAGAGTCCTGAAAGGACCAAGTGAGATGACATGTCTCATGAGCCTTCCAGGGAGGGCCAGACTCACCGGAAGATTCATATGGGGCCATGTGTCCCTGCTCCCTACTGATCTTGAAAAACCCTCCAGGGCTGGCCTTCCCAGGATTTACACTGTGCCACTGCTGTGTAGAGTACACTGTGAAACAAAGGATTGTCTTTACAGCTGCAGTGAAATTGGTCTTATGCTTTCCTGTTCTTTTCATCGTCTGTCTCCAGATCTGTTGCTGCAGTTACCTTGGTAAGGTGCCATAAAAATGATTACCAAGAAAGAAAGCCCTGCACACATGAACTTCACAGCTTACTATCTGTACCTACAGATGGTTTATATATCTGCTAGGTTGTTGATGGAATTTTCCCATAATCATGAAACAATATGAAAATGAAATCAGTATGTGGATAATTTCAGGGAAAGGACCCACTTTCCACACACTTACCTGATTAGGCTTGTGGAAGTGCTTTCTTACCTGGATGAAGGCTTTAGATGTCTCCATTCTTTCCATGAGAGGCCAAAACAGTGTCAACTCTCAGGTGATTTTTCTTCTGCTTCTTCCAGTCATACAGGCACCATCCAGTTATAAAGTACTTTACACCAGATGTTGGCAAACTGCGGCCCTGGTGGCCAAATCTAGCTCATGAGCTGTTTTCGTAAATAAATTTTTTTTAGAAACAGCCACACCCATCTACTTGCAGGCATTGTGTGTGTGCTTCTTCAGAATTGAGCGGTTGCAACTGAGACTATGGCCCGCAGAACTACCATACTTACTATCTGGTCCTTTACAGAAAGTTTGCCAACCCCTGCTTTTGACTTTCCAAAGCTCTTTCTCAGATATTACTTTATTTGGTCTTCATTACAGCCTGATGTTAGGTTAGAGGTTCCTAAACTTCTATGGTTCACAGGACTTTAGTGTCTCAGGAATTTTTTTACAGAGCTCCTAGGCCATGAGAAATAATACCTAACAGTCTGTTTATTAAATAGGTCAAAACAATTTAATAAGTACTTATGCCCGAGCAACACTGCACTTGCAGAGCCCAGCACATCCTCTCCAATCTTGGGATGGGAGTGGAGACCAGGACCCTCATTTTCTGTTTCATGGTAACTTCCTTGGTACTTGCTTTTTATCAGGGCAATTTTGCAAACCAGGTTAGCAAAGATATGAGGTTATCAGGGGAGATGTGGAGAGCTAATGTTGGAAGCCTGCACTACTTCCAGCCAGTGGTCCACGTGGTGTCTGACAGATGTCATGGGGTTGCTTTTGAAAATATAAAATCCCCCGGTGCCCCTGTGAGTTTACTGTGCCATTCCAGGGCTCCTTACACACCGTGTGGGAGCCAGGTTGTCAGGTCTCATGGTTTCCTGGTTACAGATGAGGATCAGAGAGGGAAAGTAACTTTCCCTGTTTCCACAGCTCAGGGGTTTTCTTACCAAGACAGCTTTCTGCTTCCACAAGACTGTCTTCCCTGAGATTACAGTGTGCCTGTCGCGGAGACAAATTCAGCTGGTTCCCAGGGTGATTTTCTGCAGGGGTTTACCGTTGTACCGCGCAGGCCCTGCTCGCCTGGGTAAAACCATCTGGGAGGCGGTGGGGCCTGTCCCCCAGGAGCAAAGGAGGGCTTGGTGGTGGGGCCACGTGGCTGTGGGACCAGCCCTGCCCACTCTCTCACCGTCCCTTTGTCTCCCCAGACGCGAGTCGTCCTGCTGAACTGGTGCGCGTGGTTCCTACGCATGAAGCGGCCCGGGGAGGACAAGGTGCGGCCGGCCTGCCAGCACAGGGCGCGCCGCTGCAGCCTGGCCAGCGTGGAGATGAGCGCGGTGGCAGCGCCGCCTGCAGGCAACGGGAACCTGCTGTACATCGGCTTCCGCGGCCTGGATGCCGTGCACTGCGCGCCGACGCCAGACTCGGGCGTGGTGTGCGGCCGCCTGGCCTGCTCGCCCGCGCACGACGAGCACCTCCTGCGCAGCGGCCAGCCCCCCCAGGGGGACCCGGAGCTGGCCCAGATCCTGGAGGAGGTGCGCTACATCGCCCGGCGCTTCCGCGGCCAGGACGAGAGCGAGGCGGTGTGCAGCGAGTGGAAGTTCGCCGCCTGCGTGGTGGACCGCCTGTGTCTCATGGCCTTCTCCGTCTTCACCATCATCTGCACCATCGGCATCCTCATGTCGGCGCCCAACTTCGTGGAGGCCGTGTCCAAAGACTTCGCGTGACGGCATCAGGCTGTGCGCGGTGGAAACGTGCGGAGGGGCAGAGGCATCGGCGGGTGAGAACTCGGGTGCGAATCCCACGGCAGCATTGAACGTGACAACCCAATGTACTCTGAGGGCCATCAGCAGTGTCGGTCACAGTCCCCTCGTTACATTCGGTAATGGGATCTGAGCACCTTTTTGTTTAATCCTCTTGGGTGGGCTAATCCATACCCTCGCACATCCTTAAGGTCAGTCAGCAGGGCCACTGAGAGATCATTCTGTCCATCCACCCGCTTCCCGGAGAGCCCTTCAGAGTGGTCCCAGCTCTGGACGTCCAGGGGACATCTGTTTAGTTGGCTTTGCATGCCTGCATGTCACTTGCCATGAAGCCCTACATGAAAATTCAGCATATGCTTTTACCTGTGTACAAACCGAGATTAAAACTAATAATACTAATAAACCCAACTCGCTAAATCCATACAAACAATTGGTGAAAAGAAAACTAAAACTAAACACCCATCTGCTGTTTTTTTTTTTTTTCCTTTCTGAAATTCTGAAATTCAACTGTTATTTTTTTCTCTATCAAAGACAGTTGGTAGTGAGAAACAGTTTAACACTGTTTCTACATTTAAAAATGTATGTGTGTATATATATATGGGGAGGGCATGTAGTTGATCTTGTAAACTATGTTTTTACTAGCGTGACTAATTTCTGCAAACCTGCCTGTCAAGGGAATTAGAGGGACACAGGTTTGTGTGGAGACCGAACTAGGACCAAACCCAGCTAAGCCGGGGGCCTCCTGTAGATCTCAGATGGCGTGCAAACTGTGTGCTGCCCCCGGACACTGAGGAGTTGAGCAGGTCTATTCTATTCTGCAAAACACAAAGTATAAACAGAGTTCTGTTAGAATTACCAGCCCAAAGGCCTAGCTAAAGCTAAACGAACCCGCTTATGTGTATGTGTGTGTTTTTGAATAATGCATTAAATGTTTCATGCATATGAGTACTAGAGCTGAGTAGTCTTAGAAGTGTGGGCATCCGCACAAATGCACAACATAAAGTGTCAGGGCCAGGGCCAGGGGCTGGGACCTCTTCTAGCCCCCTGTGTGGCAGGAGCTGGGGAGTAGATGGTATGGCTGATGGCTTTCCTGGATGTGTGGCCTGTGGCAGTCAGCAGAAAGGAGCAGGCAGACCATCAGTGGCTGCACAGTCACCCCTTGTTCTGGCTTTGGGGAATCTGCCTCTCCATAGCTGGTCCACCATCTTCAGCCCAGAAAGCTAGTTCAGGGTCAGTAGGTGGATTCACTGAATATGTGTGTTTTTGAAGATAAGACCAATTTTCATTTTTAAAACTAATTGGTGACACAGTCCGCTTAGACTATCTAGTTGACAGTAGTCACTTTGCCTCTTCTCATTCTTATTTTTAATGAGATCAGAGGGTGATTCACTAAGAATCATCCAGTAACTGATGAGAGCTCAAAACTGCAGAAGGCTCTTGATCTCTAGAGATGCTTAATTTGCTTCTAACCCTTGAGATAGGCTTATCATGGGGGAAGATTAGATTTTCAGAGCAAAAAAAAGTCTCACATTTTTCCAGCCATCCATTTCACTCAGTTCTGGATAATGCGTGTGAATTTGTTTGCACTGAAGGAAGATGGGGGCTTATGTGTGCTGTGTGTGTGTGTGTGTGTGTGTGTGTGTGTGTGTGTGCGCGTGCATGTTGCCAGTGTTTGTGACTATGAGAGGAGACCTCATTTACAACAAGAAGGTTGATAAATCAAGGTCATCCTCAGAGTTCACCCATTGTACATGGTATGGATGAGACACACAATATTTTTTTTCCTGTTAAAGTGTCTTTAGAAACAGACAGAAGTGTTTTAATGTATAAAAAAAAGCCTTATTTTTGTTATCCAAAAATTGACGCCTACCGCATTTTTGCTTTATAAAGAAAACCTTTCTTTTTGTATTTTATGCAGAAAAACATAAAAAGAAAATAGAAGTAGTTCATATTATGACCACTCAACTAACTACTTTGTTATTTCACAAAGTAATAATAAGGAATAGATGTGCACATAGTTAGACAAGTGAATGGTTAAAAACAACAGCCTCCCACAGCCTCCCACAGTCCCCTTCTCCCTCCCCACAGGGGACCATTGATGAGCTTCTAGGGGTGAAGGAAGGAAGGGGGTGAAGACGGAGACAGGAGAGCTCAGAAAGAGACATTCCTCTTCCAGCACAGATGCTATGCGAAGAGCTCTGCAGCTTGCTTTCTTCACTTAGTGTTTTGTCTTAGAGATCTTCCTGTAATAACATATAAAGAGCTACCTCATTCCTCCTGATAGCTGCTTAACATTCCATTGTCTCAGTGGGCTATGATTTATTTGATTTAGTCTTTTATTGGTGAACATATAGATATTCCCAGTTTTTATATTTATACACAGATCTATAATTAGCATCCTTGTACGTATATCTTGGCATACTTTTGTGTCTATATCTTGGTATAAATTACAACTTTGAAATGGAATTGCGTAATTTAAGGCTATGTGTATTTAAAATTTTGGTAAATATTGCAAGGTTATCGTCCAAAAATTAATCAATGGATACCCCCACCAAGAGTACAATAAAAGGGTTGGTTTCTCTGCTCTCTAGCACTGGGTATTTACAAATTATTTTTTTTTTCCAATCTGGTGAAAAATGATGTTGCAATATTATTCTGATTTTAGTTCATTTTGTTATGAGTGAAATTGGACATCTTTTCAAATGTTTTTTTTTTTTTTTTTGGTAACTTCAATTGTAAATTTATGTCTTTTACACAGTTTTTAATTGGGTTATTTGGCTTTTTCTGAATTGATTTGCTCAGACCTTTTCTGTGTTATGTCTTGAAAATATTTTTATTTGTTTACATTTGTCTTTTGATGTTATTTATTGATTTGCTTATTTATTAGCATAGAGAAAGTTTAAATTTTTATGTTGTCAATTTACCTGTATTTTCCTTTGTAGATCCAGAGATTTGCTTCCAATTTTAAAAGGCCTTCCCAATCTGAGATTTTAAATAAAATTACTCATATTTTCTTCTAAAACTTTATGGTTTCATTTGTTTACCTTTCCATCTTTTAACTCCTAGAATTTATTTATTGTAGGAAGTGGTGGTAGAGATCCAATCTTTTCCTTCCCATGGTGGTCAGTTGTGCCAACAAAATATTAATAATGCATTCCTGTAATACAATTATAATCTTTTCCCAACTTGTTCAAAATGCAGTCTTATTTGTAAACTAAGTTTCTGTGAGAATTTGGGTTTATGAGTGGTCTTCAAAAAGTTAATGGAAGGATTCATACTATCTTTTAATTTGATTTTTCCACAAACTTTTTGAAGACCCCTCCTATTTCTGGTCTATTGATTTATCTCTCTCTGAGTGCCTTAACTTTCTAAAGCTTTATTTGTGCTAATACTGATATTTTCAAGTTAATGTTCTCCTCAACTTTCTCTCTCATATGTATCATGAGATGTGCATCTCTTTTTTTTTTAATTGAGGTCACAATGAATTTATGAATTAGTTGAGTTTCCCTACTCAAGGACACTGTAATCTAGGTTTGTGTTCAGGTCTAATTTTATGTCACTCAATAATTGAGTTCTGTGGTTTTGTTCAGACAGAGCCTCTTAATTTATTATTTTTAGATGTTCTATCATTTGGCTACCATTTTTCTGTGAAGTTATTTATTCCATTTAATTTTATAACTGGATATATAGGAACATAGTTGGTTTTTGTATAATAATATCATAATCAACATCATAACTGTGATTTCTTCTTGTTTCTAAGATTATTTTGTCTCCGCCTTTCCAATATTTCCATTAGTTTTTTCTGTTGTCCAATTGCTTTTGAGAACAGTGTTAAGTAACAGCAATGTAGGTGGCATACTTGTCTGTCTTGACATTAATGGAATGTTATGAAGTCTCACTATTTAACATGTATAAGGACATGTGTTTTCTTGTCATAATAAAAAAAGTGTCTGTGTATTCTCAGGCTATTAAGGCTCTGTGGGAAAATGTAGATATTAGATTTTGGTCAAAGCCTTCTCAGTATCGGTGGAGGTAATCAGAAGGTTTTTCCCTTTGCTCAAATAGTATGTTTTGTTATGTTGATAGAATCCTTAAAATCAATTCGTTATTATATTCCTGAGATGGTCCCACTTGGTCTTATGATTTTTGCTATCAGTATCTATAATTAAGATTAATCATTATACAGCTCGCTTTTGTATATTTTTCCAGATTTGATTTAATTTTATACTGACTTCAAAAAAAGAAACATTAGAAAACAAAAACCTTTATATTCTACAACAATTACTGGGTTACTTTATGTGTAAAAGAACTACCAGGGAGCTGCCTGGGCCAGCTCTGGTATATTACTGGATTTTTCCCATTGTGCAGGTTAGGCCCTCAAGCACATTTGAGGTCAATTTTAGTTACTTTTTAAAATAAGATTAATTTTATCCCTCTTTAACATAGTTGCATGGTTTTGTAATATTGGCACTTAGGATCTTTCACTTCCTCTGTATTTGTGGTTATTTCACCATTTCTAATGTGTACATTTCTTTCGTGTCTGTGTGTGTGTGTGTGTGTGTGTGTGTGTGTGTGTGTTTGGCTCACCAAATGTTTAATTTTTTTTTATGTGTTGAGGCACCAGATCCTTTGATCTATTCATCAGTTTGGGAAACTGGCTGCAGACTCCTGTTGACCCCTGAGCTAACCCAGGCCTTCCTGGCGACAGCAGCATGTGGGCAGCACAGGCCGTTGGAGGCGCTGGCTCCTCCAGCCTGGATCCAGGGCCCAGGAGGGCCCGGGACATGGCTGCTGCTTTTCCCTTGGCAGTGGAACCAGTGGTCACTTCACTTGCCGTGACACAGTTAGTTGAAGGAAAGACCAACAAAAGCTTGAACCTGAAGCCATCTTGAGGTGTGGGCATTGGGAAGTAACCCTTTCTTACATAAGTTAACTTTCTCTCATTCCTTCCATTTTTCTGGAGCAAACCCTCCCCAGTCCTCCCTTCACCTTGATCAAAATGATGCTGACCTCACCACTCAAGGCCCCCTTTCTGATCACTGTTGACTTCATTTGCGTAGTCTCAACCCTCTGATATCATAGCTTATCATGAGTTGGGGAGGGGCCCAGAGTTGCAGCACCTGGGGGATGCCGTCTGCAGCTTCAGTCTTTATGCAGCTCTTTTTGGTGAAGCTTCCACTGTGTCCTCAGCACATCCACTTTTGGAATCCCAGGAAAGTAAAACATCCTGCGGTTGTGTCCTCCAGTTCGTCTCCTTTTCCTGTCTGTCTTTCCGCTGTCTCACTGGAAAGTTTACTCTTTCCTAGTACTTTCTGCTCACAACCTGTCACCACTCCCTTCCCTGCTGCGTTAGAGTTCACCTTCCCACGGTTGCTTCCCATCAGCACATGCTCCTGTTATGTCTTGTAATTTCTGAATTTCTTCTCTTATTTTTAACATTTCAGTCCTTCTCTTTTACTTTTGAAAAGTTCT